GGGTAGTCCTCTGTAGAGCAATTCAGGCTATCCGGCCACAGGCAGCAAACAGCAAGGCGGGTCACCAACAGTCAGCCAGATGACAGGGTGCCAGTCCCCAGATCAAGAGATGTAAATTTGAATGGTGTGCCAAAGCAGGTCTGGAAGGAACCTCAAGTTACAGTGACACAGTCCACGGGTTAGGTGTCCCACAGGTAGTGTAGCTTGCAAATGGAGGCACAGAAAAAAGCAAGGCAGCCTCACACTGGTCCGATCATCAAAGAGCAAGAGACCAGAAAGGCCATGTTGGCACAATAAACTAACTACCTCAAGCCCTCTTTGTGTATTTCAGGTTTGAGTAGACTTTGGAGTTTCGGGGCTTGTAGATTCTTCTTTGTCTCCATCATTATCAGATATTTATGCTTGACTTTCCACTTTTCTGCTTGCTTCTGCCTCTGGCCTGTTCTTTTTGTAATTGAGAAGTGATTAGATGTAAGGTATATCCTACACCGACGTGGCCTCATTAATACAACAAAAACTCGATTTACAAATACAATACATTTTTAATAAGAGTTATAATTGGGTCCCTTTGGTAGACTCAACATTCACAAGAGGAAAGAGGGGGAGTGATTGCTTTGCATTTTGTCTGGAGCTCAGCTGCAGGTGCCTTCTTGCTCGCCAGCTTTCCAAAGAATACAAAAGACTTATTGCTTCTGTACCCCACCCACACTTGTGTTGGGGCAATCCTGGACATACCGGTCATTGTTGGACTGAGTGCAGTTGGCAGGGTTCAGTGGTGAATTTTAGTTTATATGATGGGCACTATCAGGAGTAGTCTGACTGTACATATTTAGCTGAATGAATTTGCTAGAGTAGTTAGAAAATTTAAACTCTGTTACAAGTGCCATGGATGGCATGGGGACCCAAACAAAATCTGTATCAAGTTGGTTTGGGACAAGATTCCCCATGGCTTGGCAGTTACGTGATGTGGCAGTTATGTAATGGTGTCATTTGGCTTTTATGTAATGATGTGATCATCTCCTGGTGATCCTCCTGATGTGATCAGCCAAATAATTTTTAGAGGATTAGGGTGGGTCACAATACCTTTATTCAGGTCCTGAGTAAATATAAGCTTACCTTTTAGCTTACAAGAAATAAAGGGAAGAGTGGCGATACCGGGAGGGTGGAGGGAGGGTGGGGTGGAAGGGGGGAACCCATTACAAGAATCTACATATAACCTCCTCCCTGGGGGACGGACAACAGAAAAGTGGGTGAAGGGAGACGTTGGACAGTGTAAGATATGACAAAATAAT